GAGGAGGGGAGATCCATCAAGTCGTCGTAGGCGAAGAGGATGGACATGTAGTCCGCGGTGATACGAAGACGAGTGGCATCGGTATCGGGATAGGACATGCCGGTCATGAGACCGAACTCGCACTTGACGAACTTTTCAAAGAGTGGGCCTGGCATCATGCCGAAGCTAGGAGAACATTGTCAGCGCGTGTCAAACCCACAAAACCACACTACACTACGCACCTGTGGAACCACTCGTTGGAGGCGCGGGTGACTTCGCGTTCGTCGGGGTGAGTGCGGAGCTCAAAGCCATCCATGGCAGAGAGGATATCGGGAATGCGGACGGTGGCGGGGGAGGCAGACATTTTCGTTAGATTGAGATGGATCTGGTCGTAAAAGGGTGGGTCGTAAGAGAGGTTGAGGTTGAGGCTGAGGTTGAGGGGCGTGAGCGTGAAGGTGAACGAGGAGGGGAGGATCGGTCGTAAGAGGACGAGGACGGGAGACGAGACAGAGACGACTGAATGCTGAACTACGAAAGTAGATCTCGAGTGTTTTATAGCGTTTTCGACGCTTATTGTTCACCAAATCCATCTCGACAAAGCAAGCGTTGCTGCTCAGAATCTGGGACGACCTCCCCACTGTTCACCAAATCGGGAAAGACCCCTCGCTTTGCCTCCTCTGCCATCTCCAAACCAAACACATGAATTGAAAGCAACTTTAAATTCGTTTTTGAGACATTTTATCAGTTTTGAGAGCTCCTGCATTTTTCAGTGATTTTCTGCTCGTTGAGGTGTAGCCATTGAGCCCCCATTGTGTGCCCATTTTGGGTGTCGCCTTCCCGTCGGCCCCTGATTCTGTGCAGGGTGTTGATTACTCGTTTTGCGCGTACAATGGGGTTCTATAGTCATTCACTCGACTCATGGTATCTCCATTTCGGACATCTCCACCTTACAAAAAAGGCATTTTGCTATTCACGATTCTTAGCCATGACCCTTTTATCGCCAGAAAAATACACCAACGCTCAATTCTACTAGGGTTCTTCCGGCCGGCCAGAGTCACCCTAATTTCCTGATTCGTTTTTGCCCAACAATTATGTCCTGGTGGGCAATGGGCAAAAACCTTATACGCCAGTGTCAACGGTGGCTCGACGAGCGTGCCGCGCCCAACACCACGGCTCCAATTGCATGCTAGCCGATTATAGGCACAATGGCACCACTGTAGGCGCATTACATTCGCTCCTGTGGTTGAATAGAGAAAGATTGTACTAGATCCCAATGACAGTCTGATGAGCCCAAGAAGGAGGACGTCCGTCCGCTTAACCGGACAGCGTAACCGTATACGTTCCGTCTTCTCGGCCAGTCTCAGTCCTTCATGACAGATGGTGACAGAGGCTCAAGTCGCTGCTGCTCGCCGCAACCCACCCCATGACTCCTCGGCCTGAGCCGATGTGTAGGTCGTATGACAATAAGCAAGGCGGGCTAAGCACTGGCTCGTTTATTGAGCCATCCAAAGGCCACGCGAGCGATTGTTGGCGAAAAAAAATTGTGACACGATGGACACGGGCGGGATAGGTGTGCTGTGTATAGGCACAATTGGACGTACATAATATCACGTTTGTCCGGCCGCAGAACAGGTCTGATCAGAGGCTGCTCCATTTGCTGTCTTGATGAAAAACTGAATGCACCCTCGGCTCCCAGATTTTTTTGGGCCATTTTCCTTTTGTTGCCTCTTTTCTCTCGACAAGCCTTTCGCGGATCAGAAAGGCGTGGCTCGCTCCGAGGACCGCGGTCCCGTTATGAGTGACTAGTGGGAGGACGAGGAGCTTGCAGACGCCAGAGGGGCAGTAGCCATGTCTCGAGGCAGGCGCATTTTCCAGATTTCCACTCCCTCCCAAGCACCCCGTTCTTTCACCCAGGGTACTTTGGCTTTCTCTAGAGCTTTGCGAACCTTGGTGGCCCTTACCCGCTCGATTCTGAAGCCCCACGGTGGACTGCTGCACTGTTGGAAGGCGCGGTCCATCAATCCTGGGTCTCGTCGTTCGACGGCGACGTAAATGGTGCAGGAATGCTTTGAATCGCCCACGATCGAGAGACTAGCGAGATTGTGAAGGCTTCGTAAGAGGGGTATGACCAGAGCTGGGGTATAGAGCGTGTCCGCGGTTACGATGAGGTCGAATGGGGGACTTAGCGCCCTCTTGACAGTGAGAGAACTGTCAATATTCTGACTATCTGCCGTTGGAAATGTGTCTTGTTCAGCTTGATGTCGAGCGACTGCCTCTGGGTGCGCCCAGTCCCATTGTTGAGGAGGTACCGCCCAGTCCAGCTCTCTACATTCCAGTATGTGGCCATCTTTCTTGCATTCTCTTACTGGGTCTCCTGTGTTCATCTTGATATTAGGACGCAAGACCGTGGAGACCACGGGCTCAACGTCTGTAGCACAAACGTCCCAGCCCATCGAATGCAACGCCAAACTGATAGGTAGTCAGTATATACTAGGCTTATTTTCATGTGAGGTATGAGAGGTGAAGAATATAACCATGCTTACGCGGTTAAACCAATTCCACTGCCCAGTTCGATCGCCCGTTTCCTTCTTTGCTTAGGAGCTCGGTCGCTCGCTACGGCTTCTTCAACTGCTTCTTGAAGTTTCATGTCGCTAGTTATTGTACCTCCTTTCGAAAGGCGACTCGTCCCCCCTCCGGGGAGTTCAGAGGAGAGATAGTACGCGAGTACTTGCCCGCCGAGCCATAAGGTCGTTCCGTTCGTAACTCCATGATCATCTCGCTGGTTCAACGTAAATGTTTCGCTTCCAAATTGATATGATAGAATAGGTATGTGTTTAGTCTCTGAAGCTGGAAGCGCCATGTTTTCTGACTTCCTTCTTGATGAACGGTGAGGAGTTGGTAAGGCCAGTTAGAACTCCACCTAATCAGACTGTCGCGGTGTCCAAGGTGTATACGAACGAATATTTCCTTACAGACGCTAGCCAATCTGGCTGAAGCCTCAGTAGTGACGGATGGGCGCCGGTCTGACAGAACAACAAACGCGCGATACGTATGTACGCTGTGTATTCCAATGTGTCGCGGTCAGAGAATTGCGCGATCAGATTATTTGTTGCCCAGACATACGTATGAGAGTGGCGGTCGACAAACTTTCTGCTGCTTTGTTAAGCGCTCGGCATCTGATCTCGTCCATGGACGACTTTGAAGTTCCAAAGGCAGGTAAAAAACGGAGAAACAGGGACAAGAGCTACACTCCGCTGTCATGGGGTTCTAAGCTCGAGAGAGAACGAACTGCCCTTCGAGCCGACAGAAAATGGCTCGAGCATACCCTCCGTAAGGGCTCACTACACTACTGTATATTCGAAATTTTCTCATAAGATTATAGAGCTTATTGAGGATGCTATGAATAGTATGCAATGGACTTTGCCACCCAACCTTCTTTGTTTGGGTTTGGGTTCGCCATCTGAATCCCGGTCTGCTAGGCTTCAGTTGGCATTGATCTTAGAAATCATGGATCATTTAAACATTGTAAGGCGTTTTCGGATATACGCATCCTTCACAACTCATTAATGAATAAGCTACCAGGGGACGTTGCCCTCTATGAGCCCGTTTTCAACGAGGAAGATATAAAGGAACTTGGCACTATCGGTGTGGTTGCGTTCAGTGGAGATAAAGTTAAGGTATGGTCCACTATCTTGTTGCAGTTCTCTGGTCTGAGACGATTCAGAATGAGGACCATTCACTGCTCACTAGGACGCTGGTATTCATGCCTCATTGCGATATTGAGCTTCACCAGAAGGTACTAGCAGACAACTGGTCCATTGAAGGGTTAAAAAGGATGGTGCTTATAGGCAACCCCTTGAACCAGTATAGTTTCACGTTAGTGGAAATCTTTTATTTCTATGGCACGTTCTGAATTGATCAACAGGATAGAAAAAAGCCGGTTAGATACAGAATTTCCTTTGGTCAAATTGATGGGTCCGTCCTCCTGCTATTGGTTTGGATAGTTGGCTCAACTCTAATTAGGCGAACGTTCGGCGTGGTACACTCGCCCCTTGTCAGAGGCAAACTCCGATGATAGAGCCTTTGTTGCTTTGGCCGTCCAATACTTCGACCAATCCCAAGTGTCGCTTGAGCAACTCCTGGAACTGCATGGGCAAGGGTTGTCGGCTATGAAGGAGAGAGAAGCCACGAATGGAAAATAATGGATTACACGAGTAACGTCTTTCTTTGGGTGAAAGAGGAGATAATGAGATCACCGAACCCGGACTAGTTCTAGGCTCTTTACCCCCTCTATCATGTTCTTAATTTCCT